GAGTGATCTGTGCTTTAAAAATGAAAACAAACCACTTTTCTCCTGTTTGCTTTGTATTTGACAAAAAAGTTTCAAGCAAGAACACTACTATATGTGGGTGAGTTAGTTCAGTAAAATCCCTGGTTTCCTGGGCTGGAAACCTCCACTTGCTGTCCCAGAATGTACCCAACAGTGCTGATGTGACATCAGTACATCGTTTTCTGAGTGCTGTTTATTGCCTTGGTCTGCATTACTTAAAATCAGGAAACAACAAACACATTCATATTTGTGGCAAAACATCTACCTACTCACAATGTGGCAAATAATCATCATTAAAAAATAATACAGTACAATGTGATTGTGCTACTTTCATGGCTAGAAGAGAGGTTGTTGGATTACTCTTTCAGAGCTACCCCTAAAAGCATTCACTTCATAGTCTGCTAACCAAGCAGAACAGCTGCTAGAAGCCTTTCACAAAACCAGACCCCATAAGCTTCCTTAGTGCCCACACCAGAGAGGCCCATTTTGAAATAGGCCACCTGGTACCCTGACTGCCGAACTGGTCTGTGGCATTCAGCTTGTCTGGCTCCAAAGCTGGTCCCTACCGATCAGCCTGAGACACCCGTCCTGTACAGAATGACCTCTGCCAACACACAGCCCTGTGTGAGCGTGTGGGCACTGGGGGGGTTCCCTTGCTAAAGCACTGAGAGAGGAAAGAGCGTTACTGTCATGACTGTCCCGGGTTGTGATCTGGTGTCTGCAGCACCTTCAGTAGGGCTGCGCTGGCAGCAGCAATATCAGCCACTCAACGAAGCAGGACAGTTTTATGAGTAGGGAGGTAGGCAGGTGGGCAGGTAGGCAGGCTGGTATTCAATTACTTGAAATATTAAGTTGTCCAGAGGGCAAGGACATGCATAAATCAAAGGGCCACCTCTAGGTTTCAAAGAACATTGAGATCTGTGTAAAATCCTCTTTGACTCCATAAAATCTCACTTCAAAAATTCTACCAAATGCTCATCAGATGGAAATACCTGTTTCACCCCTCTAAAGGACAGAATAAAAAGCACCATTCAGTCTTTGGCCTGTCTGCTGGGTACCCACAAACTCAAAGGATGGATTCGGAGAAGCAGGTGAATCTGGAGAGTATCGAACAAGCAGTAACTGCTCCAGCCACCACCAGGGTCAGCTTTGAATCACAAGGAAGAGGGGAATATTCCTTTGTCTCACTCCCGAGCCTACAGCCCATGCTGGGCCTGGACATGTGTCACCAAATATTTTCTTTGTGGCAGAGGAAGCAATGTCAAACATTTGATTGTTAACATACTCATGCCGAGCATCTGTGTGAACCAATGAAATATGTAAGGCTCTGCCATTAAGGAGGGTTCAGGAAGGCTGGGCATTCCTTTCAGGAAACTAGGATGGCTCAAAATAGCACTGCTGAGTGTTACATGATTTTTAAACTAATCATCAGCAAATCTTTTCAGCTGACTTTGGCTTTAAGCGTTCCTACCAAAAAAGATTGCTAAATGGAAAGAAAAGGGCCTACAGTATGTTTAGGTTTATTATTATTATTATTTCATAATAAGAACTGTCTCATCTTACCTAATTTTCTCCTTCTTCATTAAAACAAAAGAAAGAAAAGAAAAAGCACATTACTTTTCTAGACGGTAAGAGTAAATACCGTACTCTTTTCTCAGAAATTACACACTTTAAAATGTCTTTTTAAATG